CTAGTGTACTTACCTCGTGCTTCTTCCATAAATGTCCGCCGCTAGTTCGTTTCCTCTTTCTTCCGTACTTCTGTTTATCAATTTATACGGTATCCTTTGTTCCTCGTTCCTCCTCGATCGCGTCCACGCGACGGTTAACAGCGATCGCGCGTCTTTTCTCCCTGCGAAAAAAAAGATACGCCTCGTTACGTTCTACCGGTTCCAACTATCGCCGATAATACGAGTTTACGCAATTAAGAAATTGCTTTCGATTACCTTTGGAATTGTTCGCGGACCGTCTGCACTCGGCGGTAATGTTATTACCGTTCTTGCCCCTTGCAATTTTTCCTCGCTTTCCGCCAGTCGTTACCGCCGCGCGAGAATCCCAGGACGCTCGTCGTAGATACCGGAAACGTACCGGATCGATCCGTAAACGGGGATAATTAATCTTCGCGCAAACAATGATCAAAGATGCGCCGCGGAATCGATCCCTGTCCCCCGTAACCGGCAATTCGTGCATGAACTCCGCCAGGATATTGAATTCGACAGGCCTCGCGGACATTCTAGATCTCTCCTTGTTCTTTGCTAAATGCGGGAATCTTCCGGGAACTCCGCCGCTCTGGAAATGATAATTTAAAAAAAAAAATCTAGAATTAGATAATACGACCTAACTATAGCTATGTACAACGTTTACAAGTTTATATACCCCTTTCTATGAAACTGTGAAACTAGAAGCATCGAGCACGAAATGTCTTTGCACAGGGGTGCCTTATCTTCGTCGAGCAATCCCGTTTAGAAAGATTAATCGTCCGGACGATTCGATACAAGGAACAAGCTGACCAGTGAAATCGAATCCACGTTAAACTCGTACGAAATCGAATCTTCCGTGAAGCGCGACTCGTTGCGACAGATTCGAATTACTATGTCGCACGGGCATGGATGCTGAGCGATGTCGAGAGACGAGAGACTTGGAAAGAATTAATGAAATGCAATAACGAGCAAAAGACCCACGGCTAACGCTTAAGGAATCGCAGGGTTTCCACCGGCGATAACAACGTTGCACGAAATGAAAATATGTACTCTGCGAACTGAAACAGGTACGGAGAGCGCGGATGGTAATTGAATAAACGAAGTTTAACGTACCAATATGAAATTAAACACCGAAGCAACGGTAATTTCTGTTTCAAAACGCATCGTTGTTGTTACGCAAGTTCGTAATCGAAGTCGTTGAAATATACGTGCTCGTTGTTAACCACCGTGATACGTGTCACGGTGCCAAAATATAATTTACAACCCAATAATTACTGCTAGCAATATACAGTAAATCCTTTTATCGCGTCGGAAAATTTATCCCCGCCAGTTCGCGAAGCAGCTCGCCTCGTCGTTATCGCCAACACGGGAGCAATAGTGGCTCAAGCTACTAATAAGTTACGGGCGATCAACTATTAACTGTATCTGACTCGTTTCCACCGTTTCCCAGTCGCTCTTACCATTCCCGCTCTTCGTTCCCAATGGAAACTCGAGCGGGCTTCGCGTCGAAGGAAGATAACGACCGATTGAATTACGTTTCCCATACTTTCATTGTGTCGCTGTCCGGTCCCGAGCCAGCGACACAATGCGAGGATTTACTATACTTACGAGTTACGGTTAAAATAAAAGGGAAATTTTCGTAACTTCTCGTTGTCGCGTACGTCTGGATATATCCCCGTGGACGTACGGCTATCGAATTATAAATGGAACAGCGATTCCAGCGGCAAAAGTGGCATTCGCCGGTCGCGTTATAGTCAACGACAAGAAACTGATCCCAACTCGGAACCGCTAATAATTAAGCGCCGTACGGCGGAGGGGTGAAAGGGCACCGAGCTGGAAAACGAGGCGAACCACTTGTTAAGTTACTTACGCCCACAGTTTTTCAATTTACCTGGAGAAAATATTCGCTCGATCGAACCAACCAGCTCCGCGGTTGAAAGCGTTCAGCAATCCCGTTGCGTGTCTGATTTGCCTGGCCATTGTTTTTTCTCTCAATTATCCGACGAACAACGGTAACGTGAATATTAAATCAAGATGTACGGGAATCGATAATTGTCCACGGCGCTGCTATCAATTTTATTCAAATATCGTTCGTATACTGTTTTTTTAACACTAGATTTACAGAAACGGGTATCTGATTCCATATTTAAAATTGCAGAACGCGTAAATATTATTTCTTAACAACTTATGTTGAATTTGATTGATGCACTGGCACGAATACATATATTCTAATTAAAAGAAAAATCGTATTGTAAGGTAATCGTCAACATGAAAGGTATCAATAAATATACGTGCGATTAGTGCCCGTAAATCTAGTGTTAAATTGTGGATGTATCGTCGACAGGAACAAAAATACTCTTATTAATAAATGTTCTAGCGTAAAAAGAAATAAAAACTACTATACACGTACGAGATACATGCTGAAGCGCCTGGCGATATGCAATCGGGTTATACAGCAATCCCAGCGGCGGAGCGAAGAAATCAGGCGAAGTTCTCCTTGGAGCTTCTACAGGTGCTCGATTATCGGTGCACTCGAGGAAATGTGGAGAAAAGTCGGGCAGATGTTCGGAGAGAATGATCGTAGCGCCGGTCGCAATTTGCCATTCTGGATTTTAGACTGGTGAACGATAGGCTGTATGACGATAGTCGAATCAGAAGCAATTCGAAGTTATTGCACGGGGATTGTAATTTCCGGGGAACGAGCGGTTAATGCGCCGGGGCCAGTAGAGGGCTGCGACATCGTGCAAATGGGATAAGGAGCATCCACTCACCGTAGTCTGCCGTTTCCGAACAGCTGTCGAACGCTTTTAATCAATCTTTATTTCGTCGAATCGTCCTTTCGATTCTTCGTCCAAGCCGCGTTCGATTCCAATAGTAATGGTTCATCGATACTGTCGCGAACAGAACCGTAATGAAGGTACCAGCAGGAAGCTGTAAAATGCAAAAAAAAATTAAGTGCTTGAACGCTATTGTCTCCGTGATTCACGAAAAAATTATTTACTTCGATTTCAACATTTATAGAACATTCGCAAGATTTAATTTACCGAAACAGCATTATCAAATTGAAAATAATTTGTTCGTTAACTATTTGTGAACATTTGTTCTATTGTTTAAAAAAAATAAGGCCCTTTGAAGGTTAGGGCCCGAGGCTGTAGCCCCCCCTAAACCTTCCCCTTGATACGAGCCTGAATTGGCCAGTATTTCTGACCCTTTCAAAATGCACAATATGCACTTATCTTGGATAACTACTTCTATATAAACTATTTGTTTAATAAGGGAATGCAGAGAGTGATGTAAATCTTTTCGAACATTTGTTACAATTCATATTTCGTTAAAAAAATGCATCGATATTGAAGGTTTTCTATTGCTCAATTATGATTTTTGCATTAACACAGCAAACATGATTAGATTCGTCTTTTAACAAATATGTATCACTTGTGCTAAGAAAGCGTTAATGACCTTGAAATTTCGAGAAAAAAATCAAATAAATTGAAATAGTTAGACTCCTATATTCTACATTCGTAGTATCTTACCATCGAATCGTATCAGTAACGATGGAACAAATAGCTAAAATTTATCTAAGATCAACGATTATATGCTTTGTAAAGAATAAAGAACGATTTCAGTGTCCCCGTTCAAGTTCAATGTTCGTGTCTGTTCTTGCACGGTACGAAGAATAATGTATTCGAAAACTTTTCCATTAAATTTATATTATTACGACACGTAATGTATTTACCTGAGTTTTCTGCACGTATAGAGCACAATGGACTGAAATGTCTTCTTCCATCACATCACAAACTGCATTATTTTACGACAATTCTCTTCGCAACAATTTAGCGCGAATTCTGTAATCGAAGGAAGAGAATTATGAACCACGTAGTACAGAAATTAACCACTTTCCGAATCATAGACGTCCGGTTACATTGATTCTTGCCTCGCAAGAGAACGAACCAATGGCGTCGTTTCCCTCTTAAAAATTCCGAACGCTTCGATTCGTCAAGCCTAGTGACTTTCCCATGTAGGCAAGAAACAAATTAATGTAGCCAACAATATTATTTCGTATCAATTAACGTATTGAATAGTAATTTTTGAATTTTTAAGTTAATTCGTATTAAATATCACAGTTGTTTTCGGTTATTTGATAAAATCAATAAATAGAATAGCCAATCAAGGTAACCACGATACGAGGCATGAAAGGATCACAGAATGTTCGATTTTTCGTTCCCAAATATTTTGTTCGTTTATTAGAAATTAGATTAGTAGATTTCAAGTTCACTCGGCAGAATAAATATTAATTTAAACGCAAAATCAAAGTAAATCCATTCAAACTAGATCGGATTTTATTTTTTTCTTATCCCATCTCGGTCAACGTGAATCTTTTGGCGCCAAATTACCGAGTGTCGTTTATCAAGTGAATCTTTGGGCGCCAAATTTCCGAGTGTCGTTTGTCAAGTGAAACCCAAGGAAACTTCTGCACGTAAGCAGAATCCAGATTTCTCGTAATGCGTTTAAACCAGTTCCAGGTAATGTGACGATTATTAAACGATTCAAATATATGTACAAAGATTGCGTTAAATGCAATGAACCACTCTTCTTTCCGTAAATTTGTTTCAAGTAGTAATTTTATCATTGCGTTCAACTTTCTTGAAACTTACCACTATTTTTACGCCTTGTATCGACGTCACGTACACAGGTAAGAGACCGGAATGATCTGGTCCAGTTAATACGCGTTGAGCCGACCGTTTACGGTAAAGCTAACAAAAAATAACTCTCGGTCAATACAGCTGCGTACCTAAGAACAATAACACGAATATAACATCGCAAATGATACACCTACCGTGAAACCTCGCCACGAGCTCAGCTTTCCATTTTGAACGTCGCACAATTAGAGCAACTTGACATAAATTCTTGCGACGAATTTTACGTTTAACATCTGAATACAAACAAGAAACATCACACACCAAAGTAACGAACAGATTAATTGTGTAATTTATTTTATTCGTATATATAAATATACATTCAGCAGTCATAAAAGAATCAAATTTATGTAATACGTTTGTATATACTTATGTACACATACAGAGAATGCTGAAATTATTAGTAGCTGTAATAATGTTCGAACGTGCTTATGGACCATTCAATTCCATATTGCGAGGTTCCGCATAGACTGCTACAATAAAACTCAATTATTCACAAACGTATTTCTAATAATATTCGGAGCATCTAAATTCATTTTCCAGGGATTGCCTTCGTACCAACCATAAATATATAAAATTTCGAATTTAATCAAGGCAGAAATAACTGCATACAAATCAGTCGTTCGTGCCCGCTTACCTTGCAACATCCTTATCGAATATCCAATCGCTGGATGCACAGCAACTAAATACTCGTTAAGGCCAATTCGGTATTACACTAACAACAATATGAAATATAATATGTTATTGACGATTGCGTTAAATTCACCGTGCGTGGTAACGAAAAAGAACGTTATACGAAATATTATCGAGATCAGTAATCTTGTACGGAATCGTAATTATTATAGGGAGGGGGATCTGGACGACCTTCTGGAATTCTGTATTTCTCTTCCACTTCTTGCTCGTTGTCGTCTTCGTATTTTACAGCCGTGAAGTATGATCCTGATGTTTGGAAAGTATTGCTGTAGTCAGGATAATCTAAAAATTTTCATTAGAACGATTAAAATATATGTCGAACGATCTACGAACTTCGGGGAAAGAATTCGAATAGCCATACCGTCCAAAGGCTCTTCTTTGATTCGAATTTCTTTCGTGTCTTCGTCCGGACGTTCGCCACGATCTTTCCTATCTCTACGTTCACGATCACGATCACGTTTGTCTCTCTTGCGATCCCTGTCGCGATCGCGTTCGTTGCTCCTGGATCGTCTTCTTTTACGTTCCCGGTCGCGATCGCGGTCCCGTTCGCGGTCTCTTCTGTCGCGTGGCCGTTCGTCCCTTTGTATCTCTTCGATATCCGGGTCGGGTAAACGATCGCGGCTTCGCCTGCGTTTTCGATCGCGTGATCTAGTTCTCGATCTTCTTTTACGATCGCGCGACCTTCTGCGCTCTCTGTCCAAACGATCGCGATCTCTGCAAACATAAAAATGCTCATGCTCTAACGTTCAACACGTTAAACGGAGTTTCTTTCCTGTATATTCTAAAACAACAAGCTCTTCTATGTCAGATATTTATCCGACAATGTGTACCTGTCTCTATCAAGGCGTCCAGAATTCTCCCTCTCCCGTTCCAAGCGGTAACGTTCTCGTTCTCTTTCATTATCCTCCCGACCAGAGTGTTTAATGTTCACATCAGGCCCACCTCTTCTCGTCCCTCCGAGACCACCGCCGAGCCTTCGCGGAAGCCATCCTTTCACGGTCCTAGCTCGTTCAACGTCGACCAACACTCTGCGACCATCTATTTTCTTACCATCCGCATGCTTATACGCAGCTAAAAGTACCGATTAAAAATTACCACCTGTTCGCGTTCCCACGCTCGCTATTAGAGTACACTATGGGACTTCTATGTCTCAAGGAAACAAATCTGAGGTAACAGAAACGACTGTTCTGAAGAGAATTTCAATGCTTTTTTTTTTCCATTTCCGAGTGAACAACGCGACTAGGAAAAAACACCATTTAAAAAGAGAACCAACACTGCGGTAAAAAAAATGTGTTTACTTTTTTTTTTCTGCGAGGCGCGCAATATCGAGCAATTGCGCAGAATCGAAAAATATAGAAAACACCGGACACAAAGGACATCCCGAGGATTTGAACGCGATACAGAAACAAGGAAATCGAGTGTCGACCGACGCACTCGACTAAACACCTACATACAAATTCGTTTTACCGGTATTATTATTATTTCCATTATTGTTCCTTGTTGTTTTTTTTTTGACTAGATTATCCGGGCTTGTGATCGTTACGATTTTCGCGGAGATGGTTAGGGTCGTAAGGTATCGGCACATATTATTCCTGATTACGTCCGTACCGACTGCAACGCATGTCATTTTATAAAGTAAAATGCGACAGCACGTAACCGTGATGAAACGAATATCCACACGTCGGATCGGAACGAATAAATTTTTTGGTATCCGCGTTGTACGTGAACGATGAGACCGTGTTACTCGAATTGGATCAACGTGTACGGAGCGTACGTTAATTAATGGGCTGCCGATGTCGCGTACCGTGGCGGATCACTTAACCGTATAAAATTACAAATTCTACGTTACACTCGCGGCCCATGAATCAGCAATAAAATGTACGGAATTTTTCGGTACCTTAAATCTACAATTTGTAAAGTTCAAAAAGTATAGCAGATACAAAAATACCTACCGCGGCTACTTACGTACGGAAGTTAACACAAATCTTAGAAGTACTTTTAATCGTGAAATGAACTCGTAAGAGACTCGCGAGCATAGAGTAGGCCAGCGCGTATGCTATTCATTGGGAAGGTGCCCAGTCTTCATATGTTCGTTCAATCTCCGAAGAAGTTTACTTTTCATTTACCTGGTGCGCTTTGTTTCATTTTACTTACGACCAAACCGTGTGCGCAAGTATCGTATATACTTTATACTTTACATTTACATTGTGTTCTAGTTATACATTAAAATTTAACGTAACGTTAACACGAATTTTCTTTCGGTTAATTTTCTATTCTCTCGTTATTACTGTTTTTCTTTCTTTTTTCTTTTTTTTGTTCATCTTACACGGGGAATTTCGTTTGCACGGTAGAAAGTGTTACCATTTTTCAACGTACACGCTTTTAGTATCTTCTACTCTTTGTCTATGCACGCTATCTAAGGAACTAACTGATTCAAGATGAAAACTCGATAATTAAACTCTTAGGACAAATTAGTATTCTATATCGAAATTGATATGTTCAAGGACTTGAATGTAAATAATCAATTGAAGTAGAATGATTGGATGACCCTCCGAGTAAGATGATAACTAGCTATTTTAAGACTTTAATTAAAACGGAGACAGCGGCGAAATAAGATGCTCGAGAAACTATAATCGATTAGTTTGGAACATGCATTTTGGTACTAGACCTAACGAGAATAGATTATGTTTTTTCTAGAGTCCACGCGCAGTGCCCGACATTCACTTGGTACATGTTTTCGCGTAAAGTATTTTAAATGAATAAAGCTTAACCTACTAGTAGGCAATAAAACTCCCAGTGTAAAAAAAGTATAGGTGCTACAACCATGATTTAGTAGAATATGCCGTATTACCTAGTGATGCATAAACGTTAGTTTAAATTTTTAGAGAGAATGCGGTTAAATTTTGCTCGAAGATATTTGATTATTCCCTCCTGTGGCTCGATTACGATGCTTGTTGTGATCTAACTTTACGTTCAAGCACAAAATCTAACTGCTTGCAGAGCGTGTCCCTGAACCTTTTTTTTTTCTAAAAGCCCACCAATCAATTTCAATGTAGAATGCTAACTTTTGCAAACCGTGTTGTTGAAAATAAACAAAAATTTTAGCCCAAAAATTAGCAATCGGACGGATCCCCGAATTCCAGCACTTTAAGAGTGTGGCCGTATCTATCGGCTATCACCGATGGGAATGTATTCGAATCGCAAGTTAAACAAAATCAGACAAGATAAATAGGGTAAGCATAGACGCTAACAAACGTTGTTGTATGTTGGATCTTACCACACATACAAACCTATCATATCAGGCAGGTTCAGGGATTTTGCATGGAATAGTGAACGGCACTAGTTGCCGGCAGCGGCCGCCACGCTGTACCAAGAACAAGATAAAAACTGCATTAATCAAGACAGCCAATATTTTTTTCTTCAGTTGATTCGTTTACCATATATGCATTTACAGAATGGTAATCCTGCATGGATGTATGGCGGGACCCCCCGTACCGTCTGGTTTAGTACCAATGAAAATGGGTAGCCTAACTATAGCCCTGCCCCACTATATCTAGCTGGAAGTGACGCTAAGTAAGATGAAATTCCAGACTATGGACTCGCCGAGGTTCTCAAGAAGGGATTACATTTTTCGGGTTTTACTTACAGTGCATATCTCTTTCGTGTTCATACTCAATGAAAGCATATCCTCTAGGCTTGCCATTTATTGTATTGTGAATTACCACTATCTAAAAAATTAAACAATCTCTTCAACATAACTTCTGTGGATGACAACAAAAACAAAAGATTATATCTTCTTCTTATCGACTTACCTTTTTTACTGGACCGTATACTTCAAATTCCCTCCTAAGTTTGGACTCAGACGTGTCATAGTTCTGAAAGAAATATCTGTTCGATAATTGTCCCATTACAGAATGACGATACCCTATCGCGATATGCCCTACATAGATTAATGTCTGTATTAGAAGTAACGCTTACAATTCGAGCTACAAAAAGTGTCTTGAAAGGGTCCGCAGTGACATTTGGAATGCCAGCGGGGTCCCATACTGCGATTTCCTGTTCTAGTTTATATGCCACTTGCTCTGCACGTTCCCTTCTCCTACGCTCAAGACGTTCTTCCCTGGTTTCCACGCGTACCGGTGGCGGTGTATCTTTGGGATCCTATATCAGATATACGTTATTCGGTCATTCAATTTCGTAACACGTTCGATAAAAACATCGAACATTTACTTCGAACTCTAACCTTCGTTGCTTAACGATCACATTTCAACGACAAGTACACAAGACAAATTACGTTTACGGTTTCTTTACCTCGAAATATTTAAGGAACGATCCAACGCCGATATAGCCTCCATTTTTCTTCTCGTGCGGGAGCTTGCTAACAGGAGGCAAATACGGTATTGGATCTCGCGGAGCAAACAAAGCTAACAAGTTCGGCGGTAGAAACTGCGTCATTTTCTCAGGTACAAGGCAGACGTGACACTTATATTCTCAATTCACAAAAATCATCGAAGAACACGGCATTTTCGCGTATCAAACACCATTACAAAATGGTGACGATGTTGCCAACATTTTGGGTGCGTTCGGTGAAACGTTTATAGCGTCGTTTATGACGTCTCTACTACGTCATGAAATACTCTACGAACATTGATTGCATCTAGGGTAATAAAGTACTGCTATACTAAAAATTATTTATTTAAATGAAAACATTACATATTACACTGTGTGCATATGATGTGAAATATCATTAAATATAAATGGCAAATATGCTTAATTGCTTAAATACGACAATTCAAATGAACACACTCCTTAAGCTGCGTATTCATTTGCCTCACTGGAATACGTCAGTAAAATTGCGAGAGTCTCATTTTGCATAGGATAGACAGAGGCACACAAATACTGCGTACTCTTTCTATCAAGTACGCGAAATCAGACTCTCATTGTTTTACTGTTTCTCGTTCAGCATTGCTGGTTGGCTGTTTCGTGAACCATAAATCAGAAAGAACGTTCCTAGATGCGAAACAATTGATACGCTTGCACGTCCAACAGCTGCGTTTCCATAGACAAGTAGCGATTGGCCGTTGGCCTTCAGCCAATAGCAACCAATGCCCGTAACTCTAACTGGAGTAGGGATTAACCACTCGCGTGCCTTCTCAGTGTGTTATCAGTCGGCAGGTACTACGCATAGAGTTTCCCTCCTTTTGCATTTCTTATCAAGTCTCCCTTTTCTTCAGGAAATGGCAACAGTACGCATGAGCAAACTGACTCACTGAGAATTACGTATGTATTTACCTTAACAACGTAACCTCTTAAGTTAAAAGTCTTTACGAAATGTTATTAAAGGCCTTCAGCCACCGAATGTTACCCATTGCATTGCGTTTTTATTTTTATATTATTTTTTCTACATACATATTTTGTTAACTTCACGATACATATTTTGATAAATTTCTAGTATTAAATATATAAATTTTATGTATAATTTGTTTCTCTTTCGCAGTATAACTACACAAGTTCCTGCATTTTTTAATTGTTTCGTCTTTTTCCTGGCACATACGATACTTTCTTCCTATTTTCGAACGCAATCTTCAAACTTTCCTGTACTATTCATGTTGGAAGAAACTTGGTCCTAGCTTATTCATAAATATATCTTCGTTACAGGGATGCACGAATGTAAGTAATACAATTATAATATATTTTATATACATGTATGTATAAGGTATTTATTGTAATACATGGGACCTACATTAATGGTGGGATCTTGTTATGTTGCTAAAATAATGAATTGTAATGATTCAAATACCGACAAAATTATTTTATACAAATTACAAATATAAATGATATCCAGCAGGTTCGTATATAAATGTTGTAGTTGCAGTACCTTTTTTTCATACAATATCATGTAAATAAATAGTATGCAGACTTATAGTTCCCTAGTAACGCTACGAGGTTGCATTTCTTAGCCAAAACATTTAACTCTACAGTTTGGGTTACATTTGTAGTATCGTATAGCGTTGGTACTAAATTCATACATACAAAAGGTTAACTATGATACTTTGGCAATTATTATGAAATCAAATTTTAACTGAATTTAAATTTAACCCTTTGAATGCCAGGTCTATCTATACAGTATATAACTTTTTATTGTCTGTGACAATAATAATATAAAATATAGAAACTTGAAGTCTTTTTCTAGATTTTCAATATTTTCAAATAGATTGGGATATACTTCTTTTTTTAAATTTTTATTTCGTATTGAATTTTATTAACACGATGTTTTTAAATAGCCATTTTGTTCGATTTGTTTCATAGTTCTACGAATTTACGTAGGATGGCGTTAGCTGTACCTCGCAAACGTTAGAGATTCTAAAATTCAGTTTATAACCATCGATCATTCTAGGTACAGTGGTATATGACTTTAAGATATTTCGAAGTTTTATTATTTTAAAAAGTACTTTAAAAATAAAATTATCCACGTCTATAAATAGTAGATACGTTTCGATTTAAAACTGTAAGGTATTTGAAAGTCACAAGGTGGAGTTAGTTGTACATGAAACGGATTTTGTGCGACGCCAAACGGTCACATAGAGCACTACTATCAAAGCACTTATGTTTACGCGGGCCAGCTACCATATTGATAATTTCTCCATGGAATGGTCGTTTCCTTTCAATAAAATCGAGTGTACGTATATTCGTTCGTGAAACGCAGTAATCCATAGAAGCTTGTAAAAATTGTGAGTACTGTTACAATATTTAGTGGGTTTCACTGCATTTCCTGCGTCGTATTAAATCGTACATAAGTAATTTCTATCGCATGGCTGCCATGACGTCATATCCGTTTATTTAGAATTAATACACATACAAACTTCAGTTGTTCTCAACAACCTACTGTCCCTTCTTTTATTTCGTAATGCGAGAAATTGACATTCGTATTTTCCAAAATTACGTTGATAAAAATAGTTGTAATAAATGCCTATGTGTTTCCAATGGTAAAAGGTTTCCTGGAAAGGGAATATACCAGTAATTAAAGTCTCTAATTCGTGTTTCTTCGAACTATGAAGCTTCTCGTACGAAAATATTCCGTACGTTTTCGATTCGAAATCGGTCGTGTATCACCATCGCGCAAAACGAGGAAGAAACTTCGAAATAGACGTTAATTCGACAGCAAACAGAATTTCCCGATAAGATACGCGCGTTACATCATCGAAATTGCATCGTAACTGCGATTCTGCTCTCTTCCGCCAGTAATATACGAGTTTCGGATAGACTTTGCACTTTATATGCAACAATTAACAAGTTTTATCGCTTGAACGGTTTTTATACGCTTTATCTCCGCAATAATATCGGTGGCGACATCGGAACGCCGACATTCCTGCAACGTAACGGATCTCACGCAAGGCAAATAAACATTTTTAACTTTCTTCGTGCGCGTACGACGCTCTACGGATCTCCATTACGTTAACGCGTCGCGTACGCGATAACGACGCTCGTTAACTAATAAACAGTAAATAAACCAGCGTCGTCGCGATTAGATTTTATTTTTTTTTTTGTACGAACGCTTGAAAATCCAATAACACGAGGAGAACGAAAAAGTACCGTTCGAGCGAGGAAATGTTCGTGCATCGAAACGGTGGGTTGCGTCAGCGTAATTAAAATGCAGGCAGAAATCACACGAGCGCGTATTTCTGTAATACTCTGGCTCGTCGAGGACGCTAAAATAATGCAAGATGGATTTGACTTTCGTCCAATATTCAGGCGGTCTCGTATGCGTGCTCACGTTCACGCGCTCACGCGTTCCGAATAAAGAACGCGTGTATAGGATGCTCGATGCGCGGGCTGCATCCACACGCGAGCGCACAATACTCCGCGCTGCGTAAAACCACGTTTCGTGGCCACGAAATTTTTCCACTCGTACGTTAAAATATTCTTTACGAACGCACGTTGGCACGAGCACCATCGCGAAATATTCTTAATTAGAAATAAACGTCGTAGGACCCGTAACGGTAATCGCTGGACGATCACGATTACGATTACGGTTACGGTTACGATTACCGACGGTCGGTAATATTTTTTTTTTGTTTACTCGTAGAATGCATAATCGCCGTAGCAATTACGCGTCGAGTGCGCCGCGCGTTCGTGTAAACGCTGATTACTCGACTCGCCCGATACGAGCTGTGTAATTGCGTTCGCTTTTCCCCCTCCCCCCGTCGCTGACAATTTCAACGATTCGAGTCGTTAATCGGGGCGCGCGTTGCTTTCGTTGTATCGACAAACCCACCGGCGGTTCCTAAATTATACAAAGCGTGCGCGCCGGTAGGAAATTCCGCGATCTTGTTTCGGTACGAGGGTTCGCGAACGCTCGTTACGGACGAATTTACGTATTGCGCGGCCGGGTCGCGAATTTCTTTCGCGCGGACGAGAAAATTGTGCAGCGTCGGCCGTGTTGGGAAACGCTGAAGCAACGCTCCGTTGGCAGCTGCACCGAATCTACGCGTTCCGATATTCACCGTGAGTATTGGCACGCACCGCGGCATCCTTATCGAGCGACGACACGACGAGCCGGCGATACGAGGAGAGAAAGAGAGCGTACGAGAAGGGTCGTCGCGGCGGCGAAAGACGGGAAACGACGGTGAATATATCGTAAATATGCACGCACCCTCGCCCGCGGAGACGATTCGATTGCACGGGCGTCGTCACGTCTCCGTCGTGTCGTACGCTGAGCATACTTGCGGGAATGTGCCCGTTTCCCCGGCTGCCATCTTGGTTTTGCGTGATGTCACGGCGTGGCCTACTTCCGAGCACTCCACGTGCAAGGGTCGTCGACCCTGTTCTCCTCTAGCCCCCTTTTGCCTAGCTGCTGCTCCAAGCTACCAAATGCTCTAGCTAGCCCTCCTCCCTTTACGAGCCAACCAGCGCTCAGGATTCCTCTGCAACCGACTCTTTATTCGCCTCCCCGACGATTCCTCTTCCTCTTCCTCTTCCTTTTACTACGCTCCCCTTCGTCGGACTCTCGTCCTCCGCACCTACATTTTTCCTTTTCTCCCTCGTTTCCACCATTATTTCTCCCACGGTTTATTTATTTATTCGATCGATCCCGTTGTTAACGCTACCACTGCCAAACTGGTCAAAATTACAGTTTCTGATAAAAATTGTAGAAAATTTACTAGACTGAATTTTTGAAAATTTACCGTCGCTTTTTATGAGAGAATTAATCAACACTTATTTCCATCGTTATAATTTCTTTGGTACAAGTGAGTAGACTGTAATTGTGTCCTTACTTTAACAGATCCTTTTTAATAAACTTAATTTTTTATTTTACGACGTTATTCGAATTAATATTCAAACTTATGGGAAGGTATACAGGGTGTTCGGATACCCATGGGAAAAATTTTAATGGGAGATTCTAGAGGCCAAGATAAGACGAAAAACAAGAATAGTAATTTGTTGAACGAGGATTCATTAAATGGTTATTAAAAAATTAAATTACAAATTTTCAAATCGTTCTGGAAAAATTATTTTCGGTTGCAGGGGTCAATTATAATAATTTTTGGTCATTAG